TATATATATATATATATATATATATATATATATATATATATGTATGTATATATATATGTATATATGTATATATGTATATATATATAAATGGCCTTATTTGGTCTATACAAAAAAATCCTCTTGTGGGACCCTAGAGTATGTCACTTATTTACTTTTTAAAGACACATTGATGTTGTTAATTATTTTTAAAGTTTTCTACAATTTGAGTTCAGAAATTTACCTTTTTAAAAAATTTTCCAGGAATCTTTTCAGTAGAAGCACCCAAAAGGTCCAAATGTTTGTTCTTTCCCCATGTAATATATTTTAAATTTTCTTGAGATAGACATAAATTTTCTTGAGATAGACAAAATTGCTATCCTGAAAATTAACAATTCTTATTACCATATATACAAGAGCCTAAGAAGGATAATTTTTTTTTAATTTTAATGTAATTCTAGAAGGAATGCTTCTTGGGAGCAATAAGGGAGAGACAGGCTTTTTAAAGGTGAGTGAAAGTGGTATTGAAAGTAAAAAATCATTTGGAACCAATTCAGAAAGACAGGATCTCGGTGGGCAGGCTCCCACTGAGTCGAATGCCCAAACTAAGAAAACTTGAGCGCCTAAAGAGAGGAGCAGTTCCCTCTCAGAGCAGTCGATACCTGAGGCTTCCATGAGAGCCAGTCAGCAGATACCCCACACTCTTGTCCAAGTATTTGAAACTAAAGCTCTGCCTGAGAGACATTTGGCTGCAAATACAGAGAAACGGCCACATGGATTAAGATACCTCAAATTGAGAAAATAAACAGTGATTTCAAATGTAAGCTCCAAATCAATTAAGCTAAGGAATCTAGTGTTATTTCGCAATCTGAAATGTGTCCCTATTGTCAAGCCCAAAGGTACTAAGCTGTTCCAACAGGAAACACATGCTGGATCCAATTACCAAGTCTCCAGACCTACTAAAAGCTTTATTTTCAGATTAATAGCCAGAATCCTGTCACTTAAACAATAATATCTAGACCTAAAACAATATATTTCAGTGGAGTTTTGAAAAGTGGATCAATATCTATTGTCTGAAACCATGGATTTCCTTGAGTTGACCCTTCACTTTCAAATGTCTGCAGATTCATGTAAGTGCCTACTCTGGTGTTATCATTACAAGGTCAGATGGTATAAACTGCAGCCATTTCATCTGTGATCGTGTTGCTTCCAACACGGGCAACCCTAGGTAATGTGATCCAAGGTGAAGAGTAACAGGTTTATTCATATGTGTACCAGAGAATAGAATGACTAATGATAATCAAAGAAGCTTTGTGGTAAGTTTCAAATAATTAAATCACTTTCAATCATTATAATAATTTTTAAATTACAGCTCACTATTTGTTTCTACTCAAGTTTTATCAATGCTAAATGAATCTCCTGGTCAATACCAAATACATACAGCTAATAAATAATACAGCTAATAAATGAAATGGAGATGATATATATCATACATTAAATGAATAATTATATATAAAAGATGTTCATAGAGTCTGGAGATGTGTGATAGGATTGCTCAAAAGGAAGTATTCGTTGTAATCGCTTTGTAAGAAAAACACTGGAAAGATTATGAAGCCTCTGGTGTAGTGGGCTAAACAGTGGGCCCCAAAAAGATATGTCCATGTCCTAATCCTAAAAACCTGTGAACATTACCTCATTTGGAAAAAGGGTCTTTGCACATGTAATTAAGAATCTCTAGATGAGGCCTCCCTGGATTATCTGGGTGGGATTTAAATCCAATGACAAGTGTCCTTATTTATAAGAGACACACAGGAGAGACACAGGAGAAAAGGAGAAGGTCATGAGAAGCTGGGGGTAGAGACTGGAGTTATGCTGCCACAAGCCCAGGAATGCGTGGAGCTGCCGGAAACTGAGGTAAGCAAGGAAGGACTCTCCCCTAGAGCCTTCGGACGAACATGGTCCCGCCGACACCTTGATTTCAGAATTCTGGCCTCCAGAACTGTGAAAGAATAAATTTCCCTTGTTTTACACCACCAAGTTTGTAGTAATTTGTTACATAGGAAACTAATACACCTGAGGATTAAAAACCAGAATAGCCTTAGAAAAGGGTTTTCTGTAAGAAAAAACAAAAACAAAAACGATTAGATGACTCCTGATCTCTCCTTCAAAGCTAGGTTCCATAACCCAGAATCCAACATGCCTGGCACATAGTAGGCATTCATCAATGTGCTACATCATCCACATGAACATTCCAGCACTCTCCAAAGACTGCCTTTCCTAATTAATTTAGACTATAGCTGTGCACTAGAATTATCTTCACATATACATGCCAGAAGCCCTGAAAACCCTGGAAATTCTGATCCAGGAAGTCTGAGATGGAGCCACAGCATTTGCATATTTTATAACCTTCATAAAAGATGATGATATCCACCAAAGAATGAAACCTTCAACCTAGGGCATTCAGCAGCTGGGCTCACTGGCTGTTCTCATTCCAAAACCCTCTTGGGCTGCTAGGCAAGTGGAACTGTGTGGGGAAGGGGGCAGGGAGCTTGGGGCTGGAGGACAAAAATAAATGTTAAGAAAGCTAGACACACTTTGAGAACAATCTCCACCCTTATTCCTCCTCCTGGAGATGTGCCATTCATGCAATGTTTCTGGGTCTACACAGACTCCAAAGGTGGAGTGAGGGGACTGAGAAAATAAAGTGAAAACAGATTTGGTAGGCATATAACTGAAGGATAAAAGTATTTTGGGATTAAATCATAAATTCCATGTGGTAAAACATTTATACATTGAAGTATAAAATATGCTGAGAAAATACAAGCTTAAAAGGGAGCCATAAAATTTAATTCGATTATTTACTGAATGTCTGCCCCATGTCAGATACTGTGTTAGGTGAAGGGCCTCTAATGATGAATAAGATGATCCCTCCCTCCACTCAAGGACAAATCCAGGGCACTAGCAGAAAAAGCAAAAACCCAGCAGTTATAACTAATCTAAACCCTTGTGCCCAGACCTGATCTCAGAGGGACCATTGAGAACTTAGCCATTGGCTGAATTGATTTCTCTCTGAGGTCATGTTCAGTACAGAACTGATGTTACCAGAAATGAAAGTCAGTAGTACTGACTTTAAGAAGTTGACATTTATTAAATGTTAGAGGCATTTGTGGAAATTCTCCACTCCTGATTAAATAAAAAATATAGAAATTATGTTAAATGTTACTGATTTGATTAACAAATAAAGCTGGAAGATTAGGTCTCTGGCACTTCAGGGACTTCCTTAGTGAAATACCAAGCTACAGTACTAGTCAGTCCTTTGCAAAAAGGGACTGTCTGATTTTTAAAAAAGAGTGCAACTGTGCCCAATGTCATTAATACATCATCAATGTCACTGTTAAATTAGATGGCTGACTTAAGTTCAGAACTATAATAGTCATTAGTTCATTAGTACTTAGTAACTCTGGCTCGAAACACTTGCCCCAGAACCAGTGGCCCCAACCAAGATTGGCATACATTCATTCATTCATTTAACCAATATTTATGAGCTCCTACTATATGCCAGAGACTGTGCAAGGCGCTGAGGTTGCAGTAATGAACGCAGTCTTGGCATCAAGTGGAACATATCTTTAAAATGTTCCATCAAGTAGTAGACATCACCATCAGTCACAGTACCCTCCCCTGGCAAGCCCCTAGACTACTTAAGGATCTTTCTGAACGCGCTATACTCATGATACTATTACCAGTCAGAGGTAGAACAGAAGATGAAACTCACTGGTCATCAGATGCTAAACAAACTACACTGAATCACATATGGATCCCCCCAAAGTCTTATTGCCTTGGTTCACGTCATGTTCTGTTTCTGTCTTTCACTTCCCTTTCCTCCCCCTCTATGAACATCCAAACTATTAGGTTGTCAGAAAAGTCATGACGCATTTTTTGCAACAAAAAATAGAAAAAATACGTCATTACTTTTCCAACAACCCGATCACTCTTCTGAAGGTACAGCTCAAATGCTCTGCCTTGATGTTCCCCCCCATTCAGATAGAAGTTCCTCTTCCTCTGAACCTATTTCTTCCTTTTTTATGGTATTACTAAAGTACATGCCATGTCTCCTACATATGCACCTTAAGGATAAGAAATATGGCTTGTATGTCTTTGAATGCCTCGTATTATCTATCATATAGCTTTGCAGATACAAAATCATGTTTTCTAAGCACTGGTTCAGTTAATTATGAAAGAACTTAGGATAAGAGAAAACATATCTCTTAAGTAGAAAAGCTCACTGTATATGTTCAATGAGAACATATCACTTCTGTTCTGGTTATCATGTTGCATTTGCAACGCAAATTACTCATAAGGTTGTATTTACATAAAAGATGAAATATTATATTTGATGTACAGAAATGAAACTCCAGTAGATTCTTAACCTGAGTCATAGACTCCTGGTGATTATGACACCCGATACTGTATACGGCATTTGTGTATGTCTGCATAAGTGTTTTTCCAGGGAAAGTGTTCAGATTCTCAAAAGAGGTTGTAAGAACTAAAATATGCAGTAATTGACTGATGCTGACAGAGATGTTGATGTAGTTGTTCTTACAGTAATGTCAGAATGGCATGTTGGGAAAGGGAAGGACCCCATTTACTGCTGTTTCCAGGTTTACATCTCTCAGAATGATCCTGGAAATCTCCAAATTGTTTTTCCTACGTTTACTGTGCCCACAAAATAAAGTAGGATAAATAAAGTTATAAACAGAGACTTAGCTTTTTTATAGCACATAAACTTCTAAGTGACCAACAATATCTATTAAACTTCCACATTTTCTGAACTTAATAAACCTCTATGAACTCAGCAGTTTTTTGATGTTATGTACTTTCAGGAAACATCTTCTCCAAAAAATTCAAATTAAAATACATTAGCTGATGTAAAGGTATTTAGATTAGTAATTAATAGTACTTTTTTAACTTAGGGAAATATAAACAAGGGACAAGGAAAAGAAAATGCACATCCTTGAGACAAATAGTATTATTGAATTCATATTTATTTAAAACCATACATGAGTTTCTCCATGAGTGTGAATGAACTGGTTCATATCATAGCCATATTTACAGATACCAAATAACTATAACTAACTTTTGTCCACAAGACATACTGGATCAAACAATGTGATCAATTCAAAGGTTATCTTTTTTTTAAAGAATTTAAGCTACAAATATGATTAGTCAGTCAGCTGCTTGTGAGACTCATTTAAAAAAAAAGTTTTTAATGAATCAAATGTATTACAATGAATTAGTGCAATCAATTCCAAATATGTTCCTCGCGGTATGTCAGAGGTAAGCAAAATAATATTAATAGATTACTAAAAAAATAAAGGATTTTTTTCTGAATGGTGATATAAAACATCATGGTGTATTATCATTATTTGACAATAGAAAATTAGTAAGACATGTTTCAATATTGACTTTTTGTTGTTCCTATAAAGGTATAACAAAATTCCCAACAGAGCAAGTAAATTATAAGTCCTAGAAAGTGAGCCATAAAGAGGTGTTCTCTTTAAGAACTGCAATTCCCGACAAATAATGTGTCTCATCTCAATGCATGAGAAAAGCATATTTACAATTCAAGCAGACTCTGTCAGTCACCAAGGAAACAACTCTCCGTCTGCTATAAGTATGGAATGTATGGAGATGGTAGTTGGGTGATGACACAGCCCCTTTGAATGTGTATAATTTTTAAAATAGTGACAATTTACTTGTTCTTTTCTATTTTATTGATTTACACATTTCAAATGTGGCCATCTTAATAACCAAATATGTACAAATATTTTAAAAGACAAAAATGACAATTCTATACAGTTTGAAAAATCAAATTTTAGACATGGTATCTTTCACCTAGTCCAATGACTAGAGACTTTCCAACACCAACAATATCAGGCACTGCCATCAGGCCAAACAAAGCCTCAGCACGACATCCAGGTTTACGCTTTTCCTTCCAAATGCTTTCATTTTTCTTTTAAAAATGTTTACAATTTACCTGCTTTTAAACTGGCAAGAGCTACATGAGCAATGCCTTATGCCACAAATCAAAACCTTTTCCTACCCAAAAGCTACTGTTCATTTAAGTCAATTTTACCACTCAGATTAAATTCAGATGTCTAGATCCCAGATACCTGGGTATGAAATACTAAAATCTGCCACGAGAAATTAGATATTTTTCTTCGTTTCTTTTAATATAACCCACTATATAATAGTGAACTAAATAAGCTTGTTTCATAGAAACAACTCACATTTGCCAATACAGAGCAAATGGTCTATGTACAGATATAACAGGACTGCCTAACTGACAGTGAGTGTTGCCGACCAGACTCCAAGTCCATGGAGCTAATATGGTGGAGCTCTCTGCTGAATGGACTTCCCCTTCAAGATACGTCGGATCTGGAATAGAAATGAATAGGATGTGTAAGGGTTTTTTTTACAGTCAAAGTACCATATTTCCTTCAGGGTTTCATTCCTTTCTTACATACTCTATACCACTCCTGTCAATTTGTAAGTAAGTATAAGAAGAAATATGCAACATGTCAAGATTTTAAGGTGAATTTTAAAAAAATACTGTAAGTCCTTTCAAAGCTTATTACAGATCTCCCATAATAATCTTAAATAGAAGAGCATCTCCATTACAAATTATCTGAAGTTGAAAATCTCTTTCAACTTCACAGAAAGAAGACTTATATTCCTTCCTTTTCCTAATCTTTACTCTTGCTATTTGTGAGAACACTGAATACAAGGCAGTAATTATGGTATACGGCTATAGTACCTCACCTATCTTGAGGTCACCTTCAACAAGAATCCAGAACACCTTATATACAAACAAATAAATCCTAATACCCTTCAAGTCAAACTATCTTGATATCTAAGAATTCAAGCATTTGCACATAACTTTATGGATCGCAGGAAAGCCTGTAGGCTCATTCTGAGCCTAACGATTGATTTTATACTGCCATCTAACAAATTTTATTCTCTCTCAGCCCATAGCAGATTAAAAGCAACAAATAAGAAGAAAGAAGATCTGGGTAGGGGATGCAACTGATAGCTGCTAGAAGACGACACAATGACCGTAGAACAAAGGAAAAGACCCTCTCCACACACACACAGACACAAAAATACAGAAGCAGAAAGAAGTAATCTGAGAACATTAAGTGAGGAGTCAAAGGGCTCTCCCTGAGAACATCACTACATGACTGCACACCACAAACCTGAAATAGAAGCAAACACCAGGCTTAGGATTGCCATTTACTATTTCATGGTGGTTCCTGCCCCTGGAAGCTCTGTGAGTCTCCATTTTCTTAGCTGAACTCTTATACTGCAAAGTTTTCTTAACTATTACGAGGTATAATATATATGAAAACTTCATAAATTATCAAGAGTGTCATTTTAAGTTATAAAGAGCTCCACAAACATGGGTTCCTACAACATTACAGTGATAATGAGGGCTGTGACTCAAAGAAATGACTGAATTGCAGTCCATATGTTTTATTTTGTGATTATCAAAGTTATGTGATGACCTACCCATAGCCACAATCGCCCTCATGTACTCCAGGGAAAGATTTCCAACAAAAAAGGTTAAGTTCTTAAAAGATTCAGTTCTCATTAGCAAGAAAAGCTCAGTCATGTGAAACTATTCAATCCCCAAAGATAATATATAACCATATGATGAGTAAAGCATAACTTTTGTTTCAAGTATAAAACAGCTGTAGATTCTAAATTGCATCAATAACCCTCTCGTTTCTTATTTGGTAACAGTTAGTAGGTAGGAATAATTGTAACAGCTGATGTTTACTGAACACTCACTAGCCTGGGAGTATCCTGAATGCTCTACAGATACTGACTCATTTAATACTGACAGACAAAAATACTGACAGAACCTGCCTTAAGAGCACCAGCTGGCCTCCGCCCTGCACAACCTCATCTCCCTTTATGTTCCAGACCAAGTGCCTGAAAAAGCATTTCCTGTCCCTTCTATGGCCCTCACCTGCTCTCCCACAGGGCCGTCAGGAACCAAATGCACTGGCTGTTCGTTCTCCAAGTTCCGAGTACTTGGGTCGGCTCCCTTCCTCATCAACAGACGGACTGCATCCAGCTGTGTCACCCGATACTGCAGGCTGGCAGCAACATGCAGGGCAGTGTTTCCATTGTAAGCCTGAGGACAAGGAGATGAAATGACACCGTCAGGAAGGGAGACTTGCATGAAAGCAGCTCGAAAGCTCAAAGGTCATTCTGACTTGTGCAGTTACTGAAGCTTTCTAAAATTACCTTTGCATTCACAAAAGACAGGCAACTGGGCAGCTCCAAAAAGAGGCGAATGAGTTCCAGATTGGCTTCCTCAGCCGCCAAATGCAGGGCTGTGCGGCCACTTTTACGATCCTTGTCAAAAGCAAAGAGGAAGAAAAGCATGAACATCCGGACACCATGCCTTAATGTTTTTCACCCAGTCTCTCAAATGTCTGACTCACTCTTGTGGACTACTTTGAATGCACCCTTCTCCACAAAGCCTTCCTTAAGCCCAGACTAGATAGAATCTCTCATTCCTCTTAAATTCCCTATTAATTTTCCTATATTACGCTTATCAGTCTACCCTTGCATACAGCATAAAAGGTAGAAACATAGACGATACTGTTTTATCATGCATTGTAATACGATACAATAAACCCTGTATTATGTAATCGCCTGTGTTTCCAGACTGGTAGCCACCCTGTAGACTTATAATTAGTTTTATCTCTCAACTATTAGACAGTAAGCTGCCCAAGGACCCAAGAAGCTTATGATGTAAGCATTTTTCCTCCCAGAGCCCCTAACTCACTGCATTGTACACAGGTGATACTCAGTAAATAAACCTCAAAGTTGAAAAGCATAAATTATTTTTCTGTTTTAAAATAACAGGTTAAATCTAGAGCCCACAACGATGAAGCAACCCTTACAAAAAGCACTATCTTGATTATCAGTATATGAAAATGGTAGTCAAAATGACAGTATCAACAGCAATTTTTTTTCTTTTCAAACAAAGATTAATTTATTTCACAGCTAAACGATCTCTTGTATAATAATCTAAAGATTAAAAGCAAATCAAGAAAGGCAGATGAGATGATCTTTTAAAATCTAAGCTTCTTAACTATCCATACATTGCTACTCAGCTCCGTTAATTTAAAAAGAGGGAAAACAACATGTAATCTCTTCTTGGGAACAGGTGTTTTGCTGTAACCACTTTTCTCCCCTATCCCATCTCTAAACTCTTCTGTGAATTTACCTTGGCTTCCACGGCTGCTCCCATTTGAATCAGACACTTAATGGTGTCAACCAGACTCTTGTTCCTCAGTAAAAGCTCCTGAACTTCAGGTGAGTGAGGCTGTTGGTTTCTCTGGAGCTCGTGCACCACAGCATTATGGGCCACGACCGCACAGTGTAGAGGAGTCAGGCCTAGAAAATGTGTCATAAAGCAGTGGTCAAGCATCCCATCAACTCTTTCAGTTGTCTATAATTACAAACCCTGAGGATGGCCCCTCACATGCCCTACAGATGGGCTCCCCAAGAACCAGTGAGGCAATATGAATAATCCACGCACTGGGTCTTAGGGCTAATTGCACCTATAGAAATGTTTTAGCTTGAATTACCTCCCTCCCTCTTGGTATGAAACTAAATAGGCTCCTCTCTATAAATGGCTTCTCGCCCGATAAAGTGTCACATGCTTACCATCATAGTTAGTGGCTTCAAGATCCACAAACTGATTGCTCATTGCAGCACCCTTCTGAATTGCCTGCAAAATTTAAAAAGAGGTATCTGTTAGCATATGACCAGCTTCACAAATACTTATCTATTAGTATTCCAAGAACTAAGCCAACTAACTCAAAAGCGATTACTGCAACAGACAACCCACAGCCAACGTCTAACATCCAAGCCCGATCACTTCAGCCCTGTAATAATGGAAGCCTGGCTCACTCCTCTTACCTGCAGCACCTGCGAGTGACCCTTCTCAGCACAGACATGCAGAGGGGTTCTCCCCCAGCAGTCAGTGGTGTTCACCTGGGCCCCAAGGTTCACCAGATCCTGCACAATGAGGTGCTGATTGGCAGCCACTGCCACCTGAAAGGCACTCTGCGCATTCAGAAGAAAAAAAAAAATGTTTTAAAACATTTAACACTAAAACAAGGAATATGAATCTAAACCAAAACTGAGGGGAAAATCCACATAGAAAAAAGTAAATCCTACTAATAAGCAATAAGATATTGGAACACGAGGAAACTAAAATAAACTGAGGGTGCAGCTTTATTATACCCAGTTAGTCTTGGGTCAAATAACTACAAAGTTAACATTAATAACTTCAAGGCTGATGGTAGCAAAGAATCAACACCACAAAGTTAATATTAACTAAACTCCCTTGGAACTAGCTCTGGAACTATCTACACATAAATATGAGACGAGCTGTCATTCTCTTCACCATCTTTTGCCATTTCACTGGGTCAAAGTCCTCACCTGACCATTGTGCTCTTTAATATCCAGCATGTGAAGCGCATTCATCTTTCTTGCAAGGACATAGGAAAGGGCCCTTCTCCCTTGGGCAACAGCAATATGGAGGAACCTGAGAAACAAGGAAAGGAAAAGATGTGAATTACTTCTATTTTGCCAAGTTCATCTTTTTTAAAAAAAGAAAAGATTCTTCTTTTAGCGTCTTCCTTGATATGTTGGTACACTCAAATGAAACATTACAGAGATAATACATCTGAGTTGCAACAGGATGAGTATGAGTTAGGCTGCCAGAGATAAGAAGAATGCCAAGCACCACACTGATCACTTTAAATCTATTAATTTTAATATTCGTAAAAACTCTAGAGGGAGATATTATTGTTTTACATGTCAAGAAACTGAGGCATGGAGAAGTTAAATAACTTGCCCAAGGCCACAATGTCTGAACAGGTTAAGTATTCAATCTACAAATCAACTCACAGTTGATAATGACCAGCAAACCATGGTCTGGTTTTTTTCTACAGATACAGTCTATGCTGGCCTTTCAAACCCAACTATTCAAGGACGACACACATATTTTTACTAAGTTAGAGCAGGTGATTTGTTCAGCCAGAAAAATAAAAGGAAAGCTCTTTCTTATATTAGCTATCACTGAACAGCAGTTTATACCTACACTAGTCACCGTACTAGCCAAGCACTTACTAAAGTCTAACTGGTATACCCAAGAGAGATTCTGTGCCTACTACATGCAACAAGTATGATTTACCAAATAAGGTACATGAAATAAAGGGCGACTCACGTGTCACCATCTGCATCCTTTGAAAGAAACTGGTCTTGGGAGATATTTGCCAATTTGCTTTCCTCCTGCTCTACTTGCCACTGAAAAAATGACTTCCCTAACTGTGTGGTGTTCATTGGACTTCCGATGAGATTCTGGAATGGCAGTGAAGTGCTTAAAGGGACAGAGCCTGCCTCATTCCCTAGCATGGCCTCATTAGCACTGTGTGGCATCATGCTGAAGTTTTGCAGGTGGGCGTCGTTTTGTTGTTGAACACTGGGGGACGTCTGAATGGGAACAGCAATATTCTCACTTTCCCCATGACTACTTAGAAGGGATGCAAAACTTTGATTTGGGCAGAACTGTGGTTCTTGATTATCAAAGAGGTTTGCTTCATAGTTGGGGGACTGGGAAGCTCTGGAATAAGGACTGTATTCCAGAGATGGGTTGTGGGTGTAGTGCTGTGGCTGCTGCTGCACGTTCTGGTTCTGAGGATACTGGTACATGGAAGCCTGATCCATCATGTGTGGGGAGCTGCTGATTTGGAACGACTGGTATTTCTGAGGTGGAGAGAAGACCTGGCCTCCATGGAAGTCCTGACACTGCTCTCGGGGAGAGCTCTGAGCGACCACCACAGGGCTCATCCAGCTAACTTGGACAGTATTTAGGGAAACCGGGCTGCATTCATTCTTGATGTTGATAATGTTCTGAAGCAGATCAGTGCTGCTGTCCTGTTTGGATTCATTGTGGTGAACATCTTCCATGCTCTCCACGGGCGTTGGTGTTTGAGGTGGTGTCTGAAAAGGAAAAAAAGTAAGTTGCACACTCCCAAAATTATACCAGAAATCATTTCTGAAGGGTATTCAGAGGAAAATAGTGAGATACTTACCAAAAACTGGGTATGTGACGAAGCTGGCCTTTTGCAAGTTGGTCCATCAGACGACTCCGGTCCTTTCCTTTTCCCACTATACGATACTGAGTTCATCAATTCTATACCCAAGATAGGAATATGGAATCTGTCATCATTTTTTTTTTTTTTACAAATTTTATCCATAACCACGCTACAGTATTTTACTCTAAAGCCCCCATAATGTCATGAATAGAAGTAACTTTTTACCTGTGAATTGCTCTCTGTTCACACCTTGTGTCTATAAGGAAAAAAATGTTTCCAGATTAGTGTAATATTAAATAGGCTCCTGCTTAATATACCTCAATAAACAGACTTATCTCTACCACTCTTTACAGCTTACCATAAACCTTTGATGTATTCTAGCAATATTTACTTTCAGCTTTAATTTTTATTCAACTTTGCAACTTCCCCTATTTTCACTTTCACCTTAGTTCAACTCAGGTCAAGATGAAATTAATAAGGCCATTTGAGTTTCCCCTTTCTAGTCAATATGTTCCATTCCAATTGAACCCCAATTATTTCCTTGCCCCCAATTTGCCTTCATTTATTCATTCATTAAATTTCTCTTGTGCACCTACCAAGCGCCTAGCACTGGGCTAAGTGATAGGAATACAGCAGACAGCAAGATACATATACTCTCCGTCCTCTGGACTTTGTGGTCCACAAAAGACTTCCTGGACCTAGGTCAGCAGAGAATAGTAACCCTGACAGACTAATCTCCCTGCCACCCGACCCAAAGCAAAAAAATAGACGCCACCTTAAAATCGTCCACAGCTTGGCCAGAAGCTTTCTGTTTATGACTTCGGATGTGCAGCAGGAGTTCTTTCACTGAGTTCTTCACACGAACACCTTGAAAGGGTCCTCTTTGCTGCCTTCCAAACCCCATATGGGGCTCAACTGTTCAAAAGAAAACAAAACATATTCCAATTAAATCTCTTCATAGATACAAATCTCAATAACCTCAAAAGCATAGCTGTCTAATGTATAAAGTCCCTAATCACCAGATTGCAAAGCCTTTCCAACTCGCTCTGGTCTATGGCTTACTTGTCAGTCCCTAGTCCTACTTAAGGTTCTACGTTCCTGATACCTTCCTCTACCAGGCACCCTAAAGAATTAAAGCTCATAAAAATATGGTTCAGGGGGTCTCCAGAGCTAACAATGAGCCCTAATTAAGCCTCTCTGTCTCTCAGCCCTATCCCCCCATGAAACAGGACTCCAGGTTTTGCATTCTGACTCTCATAAATCTATAACTATTCTTAACTTCTGAAAAACTTGGGAGATCAATGGATAAATGCTGAATTTATAGCTTTTTAAACAAAAGGCTTTGTGTCCACATAGAAATTTAAAAGTCTATTAATCCAGCCACCTAAGAAAGCACAAAACAAACTTGCTCCAAAGATCTCAATGTACCAAATCCTAACAATTAACAGTGTTTTAGATTTCTTATTTATTTCACTCAGATCAGCTATGCCAAGAAAGGTGGTTAAATTCACTGAGGTTAAACACATTTACACACACACACACACACACACACACACACACACACACACACACACACACAGGATTTCCCCTCACTGACTGTTTTGGGGATTGCTCAAAGAGGCCTTCTAAGTGAAAAGGAAATATGTAATCCCATTTCATATTTAAACTTGAAAACACACTTTAAAATGTAGTCTATGAGTACAGCATTACGCTTCTGACCACTACTGTGTCACAACCTCTTGGGATGAGCTGAACAGAAAGTAAACATGCAAAAAGTTAGGAAATGAATAATTCTGCCACTCCATTGGGAGGGGAAAAAATTAAGAAGCTATGACAAGAAACAGTGCATAATTTGAACGTATATATCATAAATATATGAGGGAAATAACTCAACGATGAGGCAAGTTAAATAAGTTGGTTTTAAGTCTAAGTTTAGGGATCTCTTGCCAAAGCCTAACACAACATTTCTCTGGAATGACAGCAGTTAATGAATGATTCAACGTCACAAGGAGAAAAATTCAGTTTCAGAAATCCCCTACAGCTATGTGGTAAACCAAGAAACTAGCAAAATAGTTTCAGCCAGATAAAAGCCAAGTGTAGGAGAAAAGGATCTAAATACATACACACACACACACACACACACACTTTGCATTTGCTCCCTTGACATACAGGGAGCACCTTATACAACCCAGTGGCTTAAATCACTTCTTTAAAAGAAAATGGAAAATCAGTTTTTAAAAGACAACGAAAACAGCAGTGGGTGGCAGTGGGGAACACCTGAGAGAGACAGTCCTGAAAGCCTGCTGACTAGATTCTCCAACATTTGACATCATCTAGACGTTCTTTAGTCTACCCACAGTGGCATCCTGTTTTCCCCCAAATTATGCAACTCGGTTCATTAAGAAACTAACCAATTCGCAACCGAAGAAAGGAAACATTATGTTTTCTTGCTAGATAAGCTTATTCATTCTTAAGAACACAGAACAAAAACAAGACGGCAAAATTCTGGACAGACCCGAAATTCGCAAAAAGCAGAAAGTAAAGGCATAAACTGAGTTAGTTTGCAGTCCAGCCTCACCTTACATCTTAATAACATCGGTTTCTTTCCTATAGCAATGAAATCCTTTTACTTAAAATTTCCACGTTACTCAGGAAGACATAAATCATGCACTTCAATACGCTAAAAAAGCCACAAGAAAAAAATTACACCTACATCAGATCCAAAACCTCGCCATACTACGTGAACTATAGCTTAACAAAGCTTTTTAATAAAGACGAAAGAAAATCTAACATGGTTCATTCCCAC